CTCTGGCTGTATTGCACAGCGGAACTCCAACCCCCACTCAGCGTTACAGAGCAGGATTCCGGCTCAGGACCACACAGCTGGACCCTGTACCCTTCCCCCCCGCCCCGCTCACGGTCACACAGCCGGACGCCAGACCCTCTGATGATCATTGGAACCTGACAAATACTTCAAGGGACTTTCGAAAGTTTAGTTAGAATTTCTCATTGAATTGATGTGACGTGGAGGTGCCGGTGTTGGATTGGAGTGGATAGGGTCAGAAATCACACGACACTGGGTGACGGTCTTGTTGGTGTCGTGTGATTTCTGACATTGCATAGGCTGCGCTATGTCCCAAGCAGTGTAAACCCAGTACAGAAGTATTGGAAAGAGTTCATCTGCTTACAGTTTCCCGATCCATGTCGGTTTCTGAGGTCCTGCCACATTCTCCTGACTATCCACGCTGTCATTTGAGACATGTTTTCATTTGGGTATGAGGGTTAGTTTGAGGCTGTGTGAGTTTGCGTATTGTTGGCTGGTTGGTGAATGTTTTGGCGATGATGCTTTACGTAGTAGGAATGGTCAAATTTAGTTACGCGGGGAGAGCTACAGAGATTCCTCTAATGAACGGACTTTCCAATTTTGTAACTTCCTGAGTAAGCTTCAAAAATATGACTTATCAATCCACATGAAGCCAAATTAAGCGCATTTTGAATGATCATCTGGGGTTCAAGGCTGAGTACAGACCAGAGGGGAGGGTTCTCATAAAACCTGTATGCAAAAACACTGCCCAGCTCGAGTCCTTCCTCCAATTGGGCTCCTGGTCAGAGAGCCTGGGTTTATTAACAAAGTCACACAGTTAGTTATAAAGTGTCTTTTAAAGGAGGTTGGACTGTGATTGATTACATACAAGATTAAATTGGTATCAAAAACAGAAGTTGCTGGAAAAGCTCAGCAGGGCTGGCAGCATCTATGAAGAAAAATCAGAGTTAACGCTTCAGGTCCGGTGAACCCAAAACATTATTTCTGATTGTTTTTCTTCACAGATGCTGCCAGACCTGCTGAGCTTTGCCAGCAATTTCTGTTTTTGTCTCTAATTTACAGTATCTACAGTTCTTCTGGTTTTGATTAAATTGGTATGGTGGTAATAAACAGTGGGAATCATTTCAATATGTTCAACAGAAATACATTTATTCATAAACACAAAATCTATCTGTGGTTTACAAACGAAGTTAAGGGTAATATTAGATTCTGAGAGGAGGTTTAAAAAGTTATAATATACTGGAAAACCTGAGGATTGACAATGCTTTAGAAACCAGCAAGGAACAATTTTGAAAAAGGGGGAAAAGATAGATTGAGAACAAACTAATCAGAAATTTAAAAAGAGATCTTAAGAGTTTTTTTAAAATTATACAAATAGCTGAATTAAATATTGCTTTCTCAGAATACAAGACTGGAGGACTGATTATGGGGAATAAGAACATGGCAGAGACATTACATAAGAATTAAGAGTAGGCCATTCAGCCCCTCAAGCCTGCTCCACCATTTAATATGGTCATGGCTGATCTCATCTCAGTCTCAACTCCACTTCCCTGCCCACTCTCCATAACCCTTCAACCAATTACTAATTAAAAATCCATCTATTTCCTCTTTCGATTTACTCAATGTCCCAGCATCCATCACATTCCATAGATTCACCACCCTTTGAGAGAAGTAATTTCCCCATATATCTGTTTTAAATCTGCTACCACTTATCCTAAAACTGTGACCTGCCAATCTAGAATGTCTCACAGAAGGAAATATTCCATCTATGTCTACTTTGTCAATCCCTTTTAGCGTCATAATCACCTCAATTATGTCTTCTCTCATTCTTTGAACTCCTAAGAGTATGATCCGAAACTGCTCAATCTCTCTTCATATGACAAACCCCTCATCTCTGGAATCAATCTAGTGAACCTCCCCTGAACTGCCTTTAATAAAAGTACATCCCTCCTCAAATAAGGGGACCAAAACTGTACACAGTACTCCAAGTGTGGTCTCACTATTGCCTTGTACAGTTAACCAGAGCTTCCCATTGAACAATTATTGTCTGTTATCACAGTAGAAGACACAAATTACACATCCCAAGGGTTACACTCTATTTCTGGTAATAACAGTGAGGGCGATGTGTTAATTAATATCAGCAGAGATGTGCACGAGAAAGTTAACAGATTAAAGGCCTACAAGTTAGCCTTACACCAGTTGTCAGCAAAATGTTAGAAATGATTTATTCCAGAAGGGATAATGCACTTTGAAAGTCATTCAGTCAATGTTGCTTTATGAAAGTGAATTCCCTACTGCCAAGTTTATTAGAGTTTTTGAGGGAATGACGAGTAAGTTAGATAAAAGAAATCAGATCTAGTTTACGTAAACTTCCAAAAAGAATTGATAAGGTGCCACATAAAAATCTAACAAGAAAAATACCAGCTCTTGGAGCTCGGGACAATATCTTAGCATGGCTAGTCTTGGGTAGTGGACAGGAAGCAAAGGGTAGGGATAAATGAGGCATTTTCAAGTTATCAGGCTTTAATTTGATTTACTATTGTCACATGTACCCAGGTACAGTGATAAGTTTTGTTATGTACGCAGTACAGGCAGATGATACCATACAGAGACATAAAGGTCATTGAGTGATTGAACAGAGAGAGGCATATGAAGCTATGGCTGCAAAGAAGGTGCACAAAAAGCAAGATCAACATTACTAACAGCGGGGAAGAAGCTGTTCTTGAACTTATTGGTACATGTATTTAAGCTTTTGTACCTTCTGCCTGCCAAAAGAGGTTGGAAGAGAGTATAACTGGAGTGGGAGGGGTCTTTAATGTTAACTGCCTTTCTGCAGCAATGAGAAGTGTAGATGGAGTCAGTGGATAGAAGGTTGGCTTGCGTGTTGGTCTGGACTGTGTTCACAATTCTCTGTAGTTTCTTACAGCCCTGAGCAGAGCAGAGCAGTTACAGTATCAAGTGCCATGAGGATCAGTCCCAGGATCTCAGCTAATTACAATCTACATTAATGACTTGGATGAAGAGACTGAGAATAATGCATCTAAACTAGTTGATGAGACAATGCTAGGTGGGAGATGTGAGATGTGAAGAGGATAAATAAAAGCTGGACAGCAATATAGACCAGTTAAGTGAGTAATCAGCAAGCCAGCAGATAATGTGAGGCAATTCGCCTTAGTTGTAAGAGTAGAAAACATAAAACTCTGAAATGTTTCTGTTCAGAGGGACTTGGAAGAACTTGTAAACTGTTACAGGAAGTTTTTTTTAAATAACATGCAGCTAGTGCAAGCAATGAAGGCACATGAAATGTTGGCTTTTGTTGCAAGGGACTGACACCTTCTTTGCAGCCATAGCTTCGTATGCCTCTCTCTGTTCAATCACTCAATGACCTTTATGTCTCTGTATGGTATGATCTGCCTGTTCTGCGTGCAAGAATAAAGAACGCTTGCTACAATTGTGCAGTAGTTCAGTGGATATCAAAGTCTTCAGAGTACTCCACATAGTTTTAGCCAGACAGGATACACGTGCCATGAAAACAGTACAGTGAAGGTTCAATAGATTGTTTCGTGGGATGTGAAAGTTCTGTAATGAGAGGTTGAGCAAATTCAGCCCATATTCTCTGGGGTATTGAAGAATAATAGGTAATCCCATTGAAATATACGCAATGCTAAAAGAACTTGACAAGGTCAAGAAATCTAAAGCATGGTCTCCAGATAAGGACTTTTAGAGTACTGTGTACAATGCTGGTTGCTGTGCTATAGGAAGGATGTTGTTAAACTGGAAAGGATGCAGAAAAGATTTACAAGGATGTTGCTGGGACTGGAGGGTTTGAGTTATCAGGGGAAGCTGGGCAGCCTGGGATGTTTTTCCCTGGAGCATTGGAGGCTGAGGGGTGACCTGGTAGAGGTTTATAAAATCATGAGGGGCATAGATCAGGTGAATAGTAAAGGTCTTTCCCCCAGCATGGGGGATACCAAAATTAGACAGCATAGGTTTAAGGTGAAAGGGGAAAGATTTAAAAGGGATCTTTTTTACACAGAGGATGGTGCACATATGGAATGAACTGCCAGAGGAAATGGTAAAGGGCAGGTACAATTACAACATTTAAAAGATGTTTGGGCAGGTACATGAATAGGAAAGGTTTAGAGGGATATGGGCCAAACACAGGCAAAAATCTGGTCGGCATGGATGAGTTGGACCGAAAGGTCTGTTTCCATGCAGTCTGACCCTATGCCTGTAAGGACTTGAGTATTTTGGGCTGAGAGAAGGAGAAAGGTTTTCACCCAAAGGATTGTGAATCTAACAGTGATGTCAGGAGAGGCATCCACAGACATCGAGGTATGATTAGATGGAAAGTTGAGAATGTTATACAGCGGATGTTGACCCCGCTGTGAGATCTAAAAGTGAAACACCCAAAGAGGAGCACCTTGCCCTATAATCTGTAAAAGGAGTGTCAAAAGTGGTGTAACCTGCCTTTCTGCAGCTTCTTGTCGGTAAATAAAATAAATCCCTAACACTCACTTTACAATCTAACTCTAACAGTGAACAAATTAACTAAACTATTAACAAATCGAATAAACCCCTTCTAACTACTAACTATTCCCAAATAAAACAAGATTCTAGTGGTATGCTGTTCCAATAAATATAAGACCCACTTCTAAAAATAAAATAAAAATAGAATTTAGTTTCTTGAAATTACAGCCAGGTTAT